AGAGAGAGAGAGGAAGTGGTTTTGTTTACCAAAAAAAACTAGAAGTGGTTTTAGAGAGAGAAACCTGTTGAAAGAACGCCGGGTACTGGTGGGAGGTGGGGCATATCGGTAGGGATGGACTGTACAATCCATGCTTTGCAAGTCGGGGAGTGTGATGAGAGAGAAAGAGCTGGTGAAACAACAATGGCGACTATTAAGAGGAAGACAGAGACTCCACGCCGGCGGCACATGTCTCCTTCTCTCTCTCAGACTCGTGCATCAATCTTTCTGGTCGCTCCTCCATATAATGAATTCCGCGAGACTGAACCCCAAATCCTGGGAATGATCTCAAAATACGCCCACGCCCTTGGGATTCCGTGGTCCCGCATGGGACCAAAAACATAAGGAAGTTCATCCTCCGATCCTCTCTCTCTCTCTCTAGGATGAGAATGGAAGCTTATATCTTGACCGGCGTAAACTTAGCCCTTGACTGGGGCAATCTCAATGCTCCCCCACTACATCCCATCTATTTGATCTTTTCCGTTATGATTGTGAAGAAAAAAAGTTAGAATTCTGAGCTCTAATAGTCGTGTATATTGTAACAGGTTTCATAAAAGATTTTATAGCCATCATAGAAATTTCTCACGCCTAAATTTTCTAGATAATGTTATGAAAGCAAATTGAAGCCTCACTTCAAATCCTCGTCAGATAATGTTATGAAAGCAAATTGAAGCCTTATGAAAGCAAATTGAAGCCTCACTTCAAATCCTCGTCAGATAATGTTATGAAAGCAAATTGAAGCCTCACTTCAAATCCTCGTCTGGAAAATACTTTTGGCAACATAAATATCTACGGTGGCTCTAAAATCAATTTTCAATACGAACAGTAAAATTTGAAACTAAAAAAATAGTATAGTGGATTGTGAACACTTATTTTTAAAGCAAAATGGATGGTCTACATAAATTGCTACAATACACATTATTTTTAGAATTTGAAATTCAATTTTTTTTTTTTACAACCATTATGTTTGAGTCGAGATGATCAATGGAAATTATTTTTAGAGTTTGAAATTCATTTTTATTTTTTTACGATTATTATGTTCGAATCGAGATGATCAATGTAAAGATTTTCCGATGCTTAACTTACAATTTTTGATAAGTTATGAAGTGAGTATTTACTTATTTTGACAGGGCTACACCTATCAAACCATTTCCCTTGCTCTTTTTCATAAGCATAGGCCTTTTGGAAACAGCATCGCATGAGTTTTAATTGTGAACATGAATGCGGCTCCAAGCAAGTTGACTCTTATGTGAATGTGCTCCAAAATGCGGCTCCAATTTGAAAGCTCGACCTTAACCAGTCAGAACTCACAATTTTAAGGATGGGCTTTTTATGAGTCAGCCTAGTGCACATATGCAGCCCCCACTTAAACCTACCTTGAAAATAGATTTTTAATCTAAGACTTTAGAGATTCATGATCTACGTTAAGATGATCATGAACATGAAAAATAATAAATTTTTTAATATTTAAAATATAATTTTTTTAAAGAATATTCTTTCACCATCTAAATTCATTTTAGTGGGTTTTTCACCACATCCATTTTAGAGATGGACGACTAGTGATCAACAGCTCTTGCACCTGCTGACTTACGGATAATCAAGGCTCTAAGACGTGTTTCTAAGGAAGGTTATAACAAAATTATGAGAAAGTATATAATGAGATCATTTTATCTTTAGTACAAGGTGGTTATAATTAATCTTGATCATTGGATGTGAGATTAGATGGTTGAATTTTTTCTATTGACCAAGCTCAAACTTCAAAATAAATTTTCTTGAATTGTGTGACACACCCAAGTAATCAGATTTCACATCGGATGGGTGTAAGTAATTGTGACTGCCTTGTACCAAAGGTAAATGGTTTCTTTGTATACAATCCCTAAAATTATTTATTTTTGGAACATGTTAATGTCATCATTAATCATTTGATATGAAACTGAACAATTGATTGTGTGTTTTTTAGCTGGATGCAATATTTTAAAATCTAATTACTCAATTTTTGTGAGACAACCTAAGTCTTCAAATTTTTTATCTAAGGCTACATGTGAGACCTTCTTGTACCTAGCATAAATGGTTAATCCCATGTTTTAAATATTTTATTTCGACAAGAGCTTCAAAAAACAAAGCAAAAAGGACTTGATTTCTATATGGCCGAGCTCACATATGTAAAAATGCGGGCTTCTTAATAAATATATTTTTGAGATGGATTTTAAGACTTAATTTTTAAGGACATGTAATCTCTAATATGGATATCATAAATATGAAAAAATAAATAATAAATAATAAATAAAAACTAGAAATAATAATTCTAGTAAGAAAACATATGGACCCTTAGTTTTCATTGGTTTTAGATATAACACGTGCTTACATCCATCTTTAAGATGGATGCTTTACACTTTCTAGACCGCATATGTAGAAATGCAGTCCAACCTGCATGAAACAAGTTTTCAAACAAAAAAGATGTATAATAGTAAAATAGCGCTTCTCGAAAAA